TATATATATATATATATATATATATATATCCAAATGGTACTACTGCACTAAATAACTTTCTTTAATTAAATAATGTACCGAAGAACAGAGTATAATAACATGCGAAAAGCAGATAATGTTCCACAATTATCACAGTTTTTCTGCCTTTCTAACCATGCGACTAAAGCCATTAAAAATTCAGCTAAGCGCATTAACACTTTACCTACCTGGGCCATTTTGTCTTACCATGAGGGCAAAATCACATTTGTGAATTGAAAATATTATAGAGAACTTATCTTTTATTGGATTTCAGATTTTATTTTTATAAATAGTAGCATAATATTCAATTATTTGTATTAAATTGTATTATTAAATGAAGTTTGAAGAGAAGTTTAATAAAAGAAATCCCAAAATAAGTTTGAGACTATAAATAAGCTCTCTCTTAAGAAAAAAATTTTTTTCAACATTTTTTCCTTGCACTTTAGCACTGGTCCTGCCATCTATCATTGGTATCTAAACCTTTTTCTAGTCTGTTTTCTTTATAAAACAGCATCTGGGCATGTTAAACCTCAGTTGTAAAACTTTTAGCCAATCCTAGTCAAAGGTGTCAATTTCAGTACCATATTATTCCAATCGTTGTATTTCACACCTGACAAATCATAAGATAAGTAAAGTTCACAATAAAATATGATTCAGTATTTAGAATGATAAACTTGTGTGATTTGTACGTACTACAACTGCTACCAGTACCAGTATTTCACATCTGACAAATCATAAGATAAGTAAAGCATGTGATGAAACATTGTTCTCTGGATTCTACAATATGAACAAGAAGGGTGCTTATTATAGTAACTGCCATTTTATGTACAGGTTGTATGTTGTATTGGTCAATAGTACTATTTTTATAAACCTTAGACAATTTGCTTCTGGAAAACACAGCATGGGATGTATGTGACTTTTATTATTTTTCTACAGTAGCTTAAGTCATGCTGTATCGTATGTCTATATATATATATTAATCATTATACTGAGAAGTTAACTCAAAATAGTTATCTTTTTAGGAAAGAAGATGATCCACAAACGTTAGGGTTAAATCTATCGAGTTGCAAGTGCATGGTCTTTACGGGAATTAGACTTAGCACTTTAAACTGAAAGAATTTGTGATTTTTATATTCTTTTGCAGTTAAATTAGTAGTTTTAAGTTCAATAATTTAGCGTAATTTTGTACTTAGTTCACAATAAAATATGATTCAGTATTTAGAATGATAAACTTGTGTGATTTGTACATAATACTACTAGTACCAGTACCAGGTAAGAATTTTATATTTTTCCTTCTTACTATCTTTACTTTGTAGTAAGATCCACACTTCTGTTGTTGTTGCTTTATAATTAAAGCAGTCTGATATATAAAAAGTTTATTCTGATATTTTGCAAATGGTTTAAAACAATGGATGACAACATTACAATAAGTAATTTACCTTAAATTAAGTACTTCTTTTGGGTGGTAAATAAATTAGAGAAAAGAGGGTACCTAGAGAGTAAATGTCACAGTTCTCACACTAGGGGAAATTGAGGATTATTATTTGATACTGTCTTATAATATTATCAACTTAAAAGTTATATGATGTTACAATTTGAATTATTAGCTACTTTTTTAGGCCAAATCTATTCGTAAACCATAACAAGAAAGTAGTTTAGTTACATTTTGAATGTAACTCACTAAACCCTTGTGACTACGCAGAAACTGACATCTGTAGCAAAAGTGTTAGTACTGAAAACTAAATATTTGTATACCTACCCATTATACCAGCAAAAAGTCAGCCAACTAAGACCTTCTAGTTGATATTCTCGCAAGGTGTTAGCTCCCTTGTAAACAGGAGATTCCTCCATCTTTTTCCACTCAGATGGCTTAGGTTTCTTCTTAAGCTAAAAATCATATTTTAATCAACTATCTGATGGAGCAATAAAGCAGCATATTATTTTTAATAGTTATCAACCTGTTAATAACTTACATCTGCTTCTGCTTTACAAGAAAGTTGCTGTACACCAATTTACTTCACACTATTGTGGAAATACCTCCAAATTAACCTGACAATGTAAAGTTAAATCCAGAACAGCTTTTTAAAGCATTTCAAATTTTGATATTGAAAGAAAAATCAGAATGAACAAACATGCACACACAACGTAAGTAACTGCCAATATTAATAAAATTAAAGATATACCTTCCATTTATCCTTTGGAGGTGGTTCACGAAAACGATAAAACTGTTCTATCTTTATAGGGTCTACATCTTCTTCCAATTCCCATGTACTATCTTCATAAGACAACCCTCGCCACTTGACTAAATAGTGTCGTAGGACTTTCTTTGGTTTATCCTCAAGTGCAGATGATTCATTTGTTTCCTTTACTTCTTGATGTTCAGATTCTTCTGTAGGCATTTCTGACTCATCTTCTAGTTTGTCTCCTGTTTCAGCAACAACTTCAGCTCCTTCTTTACAGCTGTCTCCATTTGTTTTTATAAGTTCCTTCTCTTGCACCCATACTGGATTATTTTCAAGTTTAACAAATTCACTTTCTGCAGTTTCCTTATTTTTCCCAAGTTCAATACTTTCCTTATTTTCTGTAAGCTTGATGGTTTCTTCATCGTTTTCAAGTTTAATATCATCCTTATCTTTTTTCATTTCAGTAACTTCTTCAGTTTTATGTTCACAGAGATATTTGTCTATTTCCCTATCTTCTGATAGCTCTGATTTTTCATTAATCTCATTTTCTTGTTTACTAACATCTTCTGCATTTATTGCATCATCTTTTTGAAGTTCTCCACTTACGTCTGTTATGTCTAATAATTCACTGGTTTCCGTCACATCAAGAACCCGATCCACTTCCACATAGTCAGGATTAAAAGGCTCTTCTTCCAGCTGATAATTAGATCAATAACTTTACCATCAGAATTAATATTTATAACAAAAATATAGGAACTTTCAATGACGTTTTTTTACACTAAAAAACACATTTCCAAAGGGATCTCTCAAAATAAAGTCAATAAACTACTCACTAAAAAATGGTGATCCATAAAAATATGGTGTTTAAAGTTCATGGTTTTAAAAATTCTGTATTCGACAGAAACCAATGCAAAATGCTCAGGGGTAAATTTTAAAACTCTTAAAGTCATCTCCATAATAAAAGATCCTACGTGAACAGAGCAACAGAAAGAAAATTGTAATATGCAGACAGCACATCCAATTCCAATTAACTACATGTAACAGCACTGGGTATGGGAGTATATTACTGAGCCAAAAGTGTGCAACTTTTCACTAGAATTTAATGCATTTCAAATACATTACATTTAACAGTTTTATCTTTATATGCCTATAGAAAATTTAAATGCTGAATTGGATGTTTCACAGAACTAAACTTCTAAAATGCAAGAAAAATTAAAACGTTATTTATATTCACTACAGAATTTTTTCAATTGGCTAAAACATAATGAGAATTTTAATTAAAAAACAATTATCAAAAGTTATCAATAAATAGTCCTTACAAAATCAAAAAAGTTATTGGTCGATTCCTTCTTCTGTTTAAACCTCTTTAGTTTCTGCAATACTCGTCTGTCTCCTCTCTCTAGTTCTTCAGCAGTTTTCCATTCACAATGAATGTATGAGCTTCAAGAAAGTCAAATATATTAAAACTTTGTATTGAAATTGTTTCACCTGTAACCTAACACCTGTGTAAAAATATTTCAAGAAATAAAAAATAATTTGTTTTAAGGAGAACTTTTCAAAACAAAATATAAAAATAAAACATATTTCTAAATGTGTACACAATGATTTTTTTCCTATTCTGTTGTTACCGTTATTAAACATACAACAATAAAAGCAATGTTTCTCATCAGCTATTTTTTTCTAATCACACTGTACTGAATGCAGGCAAATTTTATCAGCATGTTTGTTGTGCTGGCTTTAGTTTGTTTGTCAGTTTGCTACCGTTTGCCTAATTTTACTTTTTGTTTGCTGTATTTGTTTGTTGGTCTCATATTATGTAAATCAGGAAACAAATATTTTCATTTGACTAACTTGTTTTGAATTACAGCATGTTGGCTATTACAAGTCTAGCAAACGTATACAACACCAAAACATATTCACGCAGTTGGATCTGCATTTGGGCATTTTCCTGGATTTCTTTTTTTTCTAACATTAAAGCAAAACAAACCAAGTTTTGGTTCTGTATAAACCAATAACTGTTTATATATGCATTCTCTGATTGACAGATTCTTTCTATTCAGAACAATTCCCCAAGACACAAGTTGCTTTGTATACAATATGCATCACATACAGCTGTCTGCTGATGAGCTCTTTCAGGTGCTACATGTTTGATGTGTGGTTGGAAGATAGCAGCCAAAAAGAGCCAATAACAGGTTCAAACTGCCGAACAACAAACAAACAAAAAAAAAAACATTTGGTAGGCTTAACATATACTCAAAAATTAAAAAATATCGTATAGTTAGTGTGGCTAAGTAGCTAATGAAATTTACAATATTAAGAATATGAAATGGTATATTCATGATTACACTCAATATTTTGAAATTAATAGTTAAATATTTGTAAAAAAAATTAACATAAATCATTTTTCTGAAGCCAATATATCTATCATACCACAAAAATTAGCCTAACAATTACACCTAAACCCAGTTCTCATTGTCAACAAATGCTCTGGAGGTATCATAAAAAAAAGAAGAAAAAGGTGAAACTACATATAAAATCACTTTATGTTACATCTTACTTGTTAATAAAGACTTTTATAAATTTAACAAACAAAATTAACTAGGTATCCGTTATTTAATATTTCTGTAATAAAACATTTCAACAGCAAAAAATAATTTAAAACCAACATATGATTAAGAAGTACTGAATTAATGATCACTAAAAACTTCCCCTAAAACACTAGCTATAAGAACACAACAGCTAAGAGTTATGGAACGTAAAACCTTGAATTAAAAACAAAATAGTGATCTACCATAACAGAGAAGTGAGCTACTTACAGTCCTTTGTACTTAACAAAAAATTCTTCAACATCCGCTTCTAGTATTTGTTCTTCTGGCTCTTCAGTCACAACCTAAATGTCATAGTTTGACTTAGTTATTTTTTGAACAATATTACTGTACATGTTACTAGTTTCATTAACAAGTAAAGCCAACAGCCCAAAGATACATCAGTATTTTTGTTTTTTCATGTCTTCACAGTAATACTATTATACAATCAATCTTTATCTGAAACATCAGCCAACATTTTATTTCAGTAATTATTTTAACATTATAAAGACAAACCATGGTCTTTTATGCTTACCAAATAAAATCCCAGTAGTACACAAAAGAAATTGTACATAACCTGTACATGTTTCACTTTCTACTATAATTAATGTAATTTTCATACTACACTCTGACAATCACACATTATTTATTAAACATACTATATTATTAACCAAAATGGTAATAGTTTTGGACTGAAAACTGTAAAACATGCACGTCTTTATTTCTTTTCATCTTTCATTGATTATGTTTGCTTATTTCCAGTGAATTTTCCAGTATTCACAGGAATACATACTTTCAGCTGGCAGTTATTGCTACACTCTTGTCAATTTTCTTGTAAATTACTCATTTAGACAGTGGTTGTCATCATAAAAAATTTAAAGAAAAGTAGAGAGTGGTTTTCTTTTAGTTAAAAGTTTGATAATATTGGCAAATGATCTTAAAATATTAGTTGAATAAATATGAAAACAAAATGAATTATCATCATTTACAAATGTGTTTGATACCTTATTCTATTAATTTCTTAGGGTCAACTTTGAAGTATTTTTGGCTACATTTACAGTTAAAAAAAAAAAATGTAACTTGATATTAATATTAAGATACAAATGACTAAGCAGAATAAGCTTAATTTTTGTTGCGTCAGATATTCAAACATGTATGGCATGACTTTTCAAATCAACAGAACAAATTTCAGTGAATTAATAACTTTCCAATCAGAATAAGTTAAACTAAATAAGTACTAAAAGCTAAACTAAAAATCAACCTGGCCATCAGTATGGATAACTAAATGCACTTTTCTTATTTATGTACTTATAAAGATTAGAATGCAATGTTTTCAGTTAAGTACCCTTGTTATTAACAATATTTTTTACCATATTTATATAGTCTATCTTTTAATGGCGCTTTGTTTTTCAGTAATGTAATCATACATATACACCTAATTTTGACATTTGAAAAGTTTTTTCATGGCATGATACAGTCCTGCCATGTTTCAATGTAAAATATGTAAATATGTTTTGCTAACTCTTTAATCACTTGTGAATTAAGTAAAAAACAGCATTAAACTACTGTTTAAGTTTCTGTATATCTTTTTTTTCTTTCATTTCATAATGTGAAATATAATTATTAATACAAAGAAGATATGCAACTCCTGGATCATTCGTGTGTTTTTTGCCACATAGCAGGCAGCTCTGCTAGTAACATTTAAAATAACTGGCATCATTAGCCACGAGTTTATATAAAAATAAAAAATTAAAATTATTTAAATTAACTTTTAAATTTATAATAGCAAATTGTTCATAAAATTTCAGGGTAGTCATTTTTTATTTGGTTGCAATTTTTAAACATAAATCACTGTGTTATAGTGTTTAATTATTTATGTTTTAACTGCCCAGATAATGTATACACTTGAATATATTACACTGAAAATTTCTACACACAGAGATATGGCATTACCTGAATTTATCTACATTTTATTTGACATATGGTCCATTTTACTTTCCATCACACATAGATATGTGAATACAAGATTCTCAAGCAAGATAACTAATTACTTAAACCATAAGATAATGAGAATAAAATGTTTCATACTATCAATAAATCTCTTCATATTCACAATCAGAAACACACTACATTCACATGTTGATGTAACCTTGAATAGTCCTACTCCATATTGATTGTCTTGACCATAAAAAAAGTCACTCAGCAAATGATCCACAACACTAATTATATGCACGAGTTCAAAATAAACATCATTAGCCACTATCAACACAGTCACAGGCCCCTTTTAAATGCATAAGTAAAGTATTGAAATAAAAATTGTCACTTACATAACAAAACAGTTATTTTGATTACAGAATCTTCACTTTCAAAACTGTATTACATGAGCTATTAGTATGATTTATTCTGCAGAATATTCTGGCAAAAATGTATACCGTCCAATTACTCTGCTTTTAAGTTTATTTTGATTTTAAGACAAACCAAAACAAATTTAGCTGTCAAGTCAAACCACTAAGTGGAGAAATTTAATGATATTGCATGATTCAAAATAAATTGAGGTAAATTTAAGAAAAAGACAACTTTATTGTCGCAGAATGAAAATTAAGTAAAATTCAACTCATAATCACTGACATGAAGACAGCAAAATTACTTTGTCGCTAGTGACAAATGGATTACACACATATATATATATATATATGCGTAATGATCCATACATTATAATAACTTTTAAAACATTTTGTATAAACTATTGTCACGCTTTTCACTATACTTCGTAGCAGAATGAACGTTGTTTAAAAAGGTTACTTGATAATATTGCATTTCTTGAAAATAAGCACATTGAAAAAGAAAACTAAAAAATGTATTCTAGTTATCCTTTGAACATTTTTTGAAATACTTTTCTTCCTAATTTTTTTTATAATGATGATGTGCTTCATCTTAAACATTTTGATTTTTTGATATATTCAAGGCTTAAAAACTATTGTATCTAACTAAGATGTGTAAAATTACAATATTTTACTACTTACACATGTTTACAAATTAAATATACAATTTTCATAACTAAAGACAGTTACCTAAAAAGTACAAAGTTCTATTCTCTGACTTGTTAATGAGGGATTTATGGGAAAAAAAATCCATACAATGAGATGACTAAAATACTTTTCAAATACTGGAATTATATGCAAAAACAGTATCTGTAACAAAACACAACCAATCAACATAATAAACATGCCTTACCTCTCTTTTTACTATTCTTGAAGTTAGCACTTTCTCAACAACCATTGTATCTTCATGGTTTACATCCTACAAGAAAAAATTTTAAAGCATGTGATGTCATAAAAATCTACACAATGAGATAACCTGGTTATAGCTTCTATTGTTGAAATTTCCTTTAGAAGTGAATGACATCCACTGATCATATAAAGCAAATTATATTTTCTCTTAAGTTTAAATATAAAATTGATATGATCATTAACTCAGTTATCAAAATGATGTTCCACAAATTATCACACCCTTAACATTCATTTCAATCTTACAATAAATTATTACTTATCAGTACCTATTCAGAAAATTAAAATATTCTATAAATATATATAACTTGTATCTAAACTGAAAGTTTTAACACAAAATCAAGTTGCATCAGTTTTAACCAAATCTGTTTATTTTTTTATAGGAAATTTCATGTTAAGATATTTTTTCCAAGTTGGTGGTTTTCATATCCCCAACCTTATTAATTTCTATAATGAATTTCCAAAAATAAACACAACCATGTACTAAAATATTACAATCAAACAAACTGTTATTATTATCCTTCATGCACAGTACATCATCATCATAGACAGCAGTACATCGATAATTCTACCGATGCTTAGCTGCCACACAATCATTAATTATTATTACAAGAAAATGGGGACAAAAGTGGGATCTAACACGCCATGAATACGGAAATGGTGGAGCACATACAGGCGGGGGCACAGCATCTAAGCCATGCATACACAAGCACTAGGGACAAGTCCTCTGGGCGAGTCCAGCGACATCAGCGCGACAGCTTCCTTGCGGCTTTCACTGCCACGCATCATAACATGCCTCACTCGCCAGTGGACCTGGCAGACAGACAAGATTAGGCAGACAAACCAATAAGATGCCTACAGCATGACCGCCACTGAGCCCGGTTTCTCACCATATCCTGCAGCGTTAACAGCCATTGGTCTGCGGCGTCGCGCAGACCCCATCCAGGGAGTCTAACCCTGCCAACTGAAGCTAATCTACTTGTAAGCCTTTTTGTCTGACGGCTCCAGGTCAATGCCTGGCCCCCACGTACTCTACGCCAGCTAAGATTGGGGGTAGCAAAGAGTGTCCTATGTGGGAAACGGCTTGGTGACATACGCAATACATGTCCGAGCCATCTTAGTTTGCTCAAGTTCACGAGCGTTCCTAAATCGGACTCTGGTCCTAGAATATGATCACGGACTGTGGAGTTTCGGATCCTCCGGTGCCAACCTATGGCCACAATACCACGCAAGCAACGATGATCGAACACCTGAAGACGTTCGAGATCTTCGACTCGAAGGGTCCAGGTCTCACAGCCGTAGAGAAGAATGGCTCTTACTGTGGTCCTGTACACCCGTCCCTTAAGTTTAAGAGAAATCCCTTTGTGACGCCAAAGATGTCTCAAGTCATGGAAGGTTGCTCTGGCCTTCGCGATTCTCGCATCTATTTCATGCTTCAGGTTTCCCTCCGAGCTCACGCAACTTCCCAAGTAAGTGAAGTGATCCACCACGCTCAATTCCTCGTTTCCCAGCACAAGGGGCGACGCTAGTGCAACAATATTCTGAAGTAACACTTTACATTTTGAGGGAGCGAATTGCATCCCAAAGGAGGGTATACTACGCAGTAGGTTGTCCAGGGTCCGCTGAGCGGTATCCTGTGATTCAAAAAGAAGAACGATGTCGTCGGCATAATCTAAATCAAGAACTGCGTCATCAGAATAAATCCGGACCCCAGAGAATGGCGAATCTTTCCTGCACTCCTCCATGATTGTATCTATTACGAAGTTGAAGAGGAACGGGGAGAGTGGGCATCCTTGCCTCACTCCGCTCATGGTTGTAAAACTAGGTGACAGCTCGTTGTACACCCTCACTCGGGCCACCGTTTGTCCATACAGGGCCCGTATGATATTCACGTATTTGCATGGCATTCCTTTTTACAGTAGTGTCGCAAAAAGGGCCTGTCTATCTACCGAGTCAAATGCTCCCCTGAAGTCCAAGAATACGGCGATGGTCGGTTGTCTGTACGCATGTCTCTGCTGTAGGATCTGTCGAAGGGTGAAGATGTGGTCAATGCAGCCCCTACCGGGTCTGAATCCCGCTTGCTCCTCTCTTATACCCTTTTCTCTATCTGAGGTGAGTCGGCACAGTAAAAGAGCGGCTAACAGCCTGCTTATAACTGGTGTAAGGCTAATGCCCCGGTGGTAGGCACAATCACCACGCGTGCCTTTCTTGTACACTGGGATGATAATCGAGTCACCCCATGCTTCCGGAACGCTTTCCTCCTCCCAGATTACCTTGAACAAGCGCACGAGTTCTGGGTTTAAGATGCCCAGACCGTCTTTGAAAAGAGCTGGGGATACCTCGTCAGGTCCGGCAGGCTTGAAGCGCTTCATAGAGTTGATGCAGCTTACAATTTCTTCCTCAGTGGGCAGTTCTAAATTGGTGGTCCAGACATCCGTTTGCAAAGACATCTCCAGCGGGGTGCTCACGCTTGGCCAGCTAAACTGATCTTTAAAGTGTTCCGCCCAGCGCTCCAGACGGCGGCCTCTGTTAGTGATGAGAGTACCGTTCTTCTCACAGACGGTCTCGCTCACCCCAAGCTTTCTAGGTCCCGTGGATCGGATCAGCTGGAATAATCTGCGAGAGTACACAGTACACAAACACTCCTTATGATTATAAATCATAACAATAAACATTTTGAACTGGTATTGCTGTACAGAAGCAACAAATTGAGATAAAAACTGAAATTTTATTAACAATTTACAACTCTTCAAATGTTTTATTCACATTTGTCAGAGAAGAAGGGACGTTTTCAGGATATTTGATTTCATATTGTTCTAAGACTCAAAGATTTCAAACAATTTGTTTAGATACATGGTTCTGACCTCAGGTGCAGAATAAAATTCTGACTATACCCAGAATTAAATGATATTCCCTGGCATTTGATCTATGCTTGTAATATATCCTTATCTATACTAAATAATAATTGCTGAAAACTATTCATGTATTTTTAATAGAGACAAAACAGACACTACATTGAGAGTCACAGTTTGCTTAAATGTTACCTTGCAACATTTCAGTATGATTGGTCACACTGTTCTTGAATTACTGATATTTTACTAGAACCTACACAACAAAAGTAGTTTATTCATTTGTATATAATAGCATGTACCAATCAGTATTTAATTCTAACTTACATCACAAAAATGTTGTTACAGCATAAATAACACTTTATATTTTAACAAATGTGATTATGTTTTTTTACTTTTAATACATATTGATGTTCATTGTTGTAAAATGGAAAATTCATCAACAAATACACTTTTCATGTGTCAAATATTTATTAAATATTTTCTGATGTTGTAATAAAAAATGAACAAAACTTTCAGTTGTTAACCAATATTGCAGTACTCATTTCCAGTATCTAAAACACACCTGCACACATTAATAAAAACATCCAACAATGTTGAGGAGAGCATGCTGTATTATTTTTCCATGCTTTGAAACTGTGTGTTTTAAATTCATTTATATCAAAAGTACTGAAATCTTTCAATTAATGTGACCATACATTTAGGGATAGATAATGTCATAGAAAATGTTTTTAGGTTTATGCAACTTTTGCTCTTTCATGAGATTGCTAAGTTACTTATATTTACAAATAACTACATTGTAAATTCTATTGGTACATACAGGACACTTCATACATGGAATTAGACATGCTGATAAAACATACACAATGCTTATAATTGTATTCCTCCTACACCATCATAATGTACAATCACTCTCAGAGGTTACAGTAAATGGCACAGACAAATACATTACAGTATGCAAACATAATTGTCATTTACTAATACATCTCTACTAAACCATTCTATCACTACACAATTAACTAATACCTCCTTCTCGAGACCATACTACTGTTTGAAAGTGTAATTTTCAAAACCAATCCAATTCTGCCAGGCTGTATAGGTTCATAATTAACTTGAGTCTTTATTTGTTCCTATCTCTAGCATCTTGTTTGTTGCTTGACAAAAAATAAGTTTTCCTAATATATTTCTCAGATATCCAATGCACTAAATCATATCATTAGGTAAACCTAATTTACTCAGTGATTCATTGATGCAAGTTCAACCATTTTTGCAGACTCATGAATAACAAATAGTGCCCTATTCTCAAAAATCCTTACATGTGCAATATTATGAGTTATTGTCAATGAAACATTCTAAAGTACAAAATTGTTTAACTCAATTTTTTTAGAAAACTTAATTCCAAATATTGATACTATATACACAGTGTGGTCACAAGTAAATAGACACCACCTTTTCAGAAAAAATGAAAATTTTCAGTCATATTCACATGAATTCATATATTTATAATTTAATTAATATCTAGAAGATCTTCCTTTTGCTTCGTGGAGTTCGTTGATCCTTTGGG